ACACACGTGATATCATCTAGGATATGGCTGCTCCTGCATTTTTGCAAGATACAACATAGTGTATACGTTGGTGGTAATAGCAGTGAATAATTGATTTCATTATCAATGTATCTATGTTTAAATGAGTTTGATAACTAAATATAGCCTTGTAGATATTAACAGCTTGTGCATTTACGCCACCTGTCTCATTACATCGATATGGCTGTGTTAGATCTAACGAGGTTTAGACGGAATGTAGTGAAATCGTGTTTCTCATTTGTAAGTCTAAAATATAAACGTTAGAGCGATTCACCAGGACACAGTAATCGTTCTCTCAGATAGACAAAATGTTAAAATTAATCTTTTTGAAAAGCGTTGGAGAAATTTCCATATACTATGTAATACCACTGAGAACTGATTGTGTCTATACACACTGTAACCACTGAGAATTGATGGTGTCTATACACACTGTAACCACTGAGAACTGATTGTGTCTATACACACTGTAACCACTGAGAACTGATTGTGTATATACACACTGTAACCACTGAGAATTGATGTCTATATACACTGTACTCAGAATTGATGTCTATATACCACTGAGTAAACTGAGAATTGATGCCTATACACACTGTAACCACTGAGAATTGATGATGTCTATATACACTGTAACCACTGAGAATTGATGTCTATATACACTGTAACCATTGAAAACTGATGTCTATACACACTGTAACCACTGAGAATTGATGTCTATACACACGGTAACCACTGAGAATTGATGTCTAAATACATTGTAACCACTGAGAATTGATGTCTATATAAACTGTAACTACTGAGACTTTGTGATGCCTATACACACTGTAACCACTGAGAATTGATGATGTCTATATACACTGTAACCACTGAGAATTGATGTCTATATACACTGTAACCACTGAGAATTGATGTCTATATACACTGTAACCACTGAGAATTGATGTCTATATACACTGTAACCACTGAGAATTGATGTCTATATACACTGTAACCACTGAGAACTTGTGTGTCTATATACACTGTAACCACTGAGTAACCACTGAGAACTGATTGTGTATATACACACTGTAACCACTGAGAATTGATGTCTATATACACTGTAACCACTGAGAATTGATTGTGTCTATATACACTGTAACCACTGAGAACTGATTGTGTCTATACACACTGTAACCATTGAGAACTGATGTCTATACACACGGTAACCACTGAGAATTGATGATGTCTATACACACTGTAACCACTGAGAACTGATTGTGTCTATACACACTGTAACCACTGAGAACTGATTGTGTATATACACACTATAACCACTGAGAATTGATGATGTCTATACACACTGTAACCACTGAGAATTGATGTCTATACACACGGTAACCACTGAGAATTGATTGTGTCTATATACACTGACTGATGGTGTCTATATACACTGTAACCACTGAGAATTGATGATGTCTATACACACTGTAACCACTGAGAATTGATGTCTATATAAACTGTAACTACTGAGACTTTGTGATGCCTATACACACTGTAACCACTGAGAACTGATTGTGTTTATATACACTGTAACTACTGAGAATTTGTGATGTCTATACACACTGTAACCACTGAGAATTGATGATGTCTATACACACTGTAACCACTGAGAACTGATTGTGTCTATACACACTGTAACCACTGAGAACTGATTGTGTCTATACACACTGTAACCACTGAGAATTGATGTCTATACACACGGTAACCACTGAGAATTGATTGTGTCTATATACACTGTAACCACTGAGAACTGATTGTGTCTATATACACTGTAACCACTGAGAATTGATGTCTATATACACAGTAACCACTGAGAATTGATGTCTATATACACTGTAACCACTGAGAATTGATGTCTATATACACTGTAACCACTGAGAATTGATGTCTGTTCATACACACTGTAACCACTGAGAATTGATGTCTATATACACTGTAACCACTGAGAATTGATGGTGTCTATATACACCACTGTCTATATACATTGTAACAGAATTGATGTCTATATACACTGTAACCATTGAGAACTGATTGTGTATATACACACTGTAACCACTGAGAACTGATTGTGTATATACACACTGTAACCACTGAGAATTGATGTCTATATACACTGTAACCACTGAGAATTGATGTCTATATACACTGTAACCACTGAGAATTGATGTCTATATACACTGTAACCACTGAGAATTGATGGTGTCTATACACTGTAACCACTGAGAATTGATGTCTATATACACAGTAACCACTGAGAATTGATTGTGTCTATATACACTGTAACCACTGAGAATTGATGTCTATATACACTGTAACCACTGAGAATTGATGTCTATATACACTGTAACCACTGAGAATTGATGTCTATATACACTGTAACCACTGAGAATTGATGGTGTCTATACACACTATAACCACTGAGAATTGATTATGTCTATACACACTGTAACCACTGAGAACTGATTGTGTATATATACATTGTAACCACTGAGAATTGATGGTGTCTATACACATTGTAACAACTGAGAACTGATTGTGTCTATATACACTGTAACCACTGAGAATTGATGATGTCTATATACACTGTAACCACTGAGAATTGATGTCTATATACACTGTAACCACTGAGAATTGATGTCTATATACACTGTAACCACTGAGAATTGATGTCTATACACACTGTAACCACTGAGAATTGATGTCTATATACACTGTAACCACTGAGAATTGATGATGTCTATACACACTGTAACCACTGAGAATTGATGTCTATATACACTGTAACCACTGAGAATTGATGTCTATACACACTGTAACCACTGAGAATTGATGTCTATATACACTGTAACCACTGAGAACTGATGGTGTCTATATACACTGTAACCACTGAGAATTGATGGTGTCCATACACACTGTAACCACTGAGAATTGATGGTGTCTATACACACTGAGATTTGATGTGTATACACATTGTAACAACTGAGAATTAATTATTTCCTTATATACTGTAACCACTGCGAATTAATAGCAAGTATGAATATATGCGTTTATAATTTGATGTTGTTATAGATAGTTTGTATACTCAAACATTTGAAATTTTAAATACATCGTGTATGTTTTCATTTCATATAGGATTTCATGACGTTTGTACCAAAGACACACAAGTGAAAAACACCTTTTAATACAAACATGGAGTAAGATACAGTAGAGCCAAACAATCAATTATACTACATCATACTTCTGTTTCGTCCTTCTAGGATCCGTCAGTGATGTTAAGAGCCTGAATTCGACTGAGGACAATCCAATGTGATCAAAAGAAAAGTCAAAATCAACAATAGGAGGTTAAAGAGTCTACGAAATGCAATTTTTGCGAGCCTTAGCTCTGATATGAAATGAAATGACAAGTCAAGTACAATTTTACCGCTTAAATGAGACATATTAAAAACGAAGGCAGATATCTTCACTACTGATATGGCTTCATTTACCATATTATGACATTTCAGTCTATTTCTGAGAGGCACAACATACCTGTGGGAACCCACTGTGCTGCTCTGTTGGCTGACGTGATATGGTGTTCATACGAGACTGACTTCACTTTCACTTTCATATTTATTGAAGACGTCTAAACTTTGAAGTGATTTTATTGACCGCGTCCATCTTACATGTCCACCAGTGTATGAATTAAAGACACGTAAGTCATCAGCCACTTATTTTTCTCCTTTTCCCTACTAAACCAACATGAACAGCTTTCCACGTAGCTGTAAGATAAGCGTGATGATTTCAATATCCCTATTGTGAATTTTTCCATTTGTGGATTGCAACATACCTGCATCCACATGTGTTTACATGCCGCATTTCGACCAAGGGCCTGTTAAAAATATCACTGAACCTGTTTGATGTTCGTTAGTTTACTTGTTGGTGTCGTTGTTGTATACCTCTTTCTCATCTATGGACTTAAAAGACTCTTCTACATCAGTCGATTTTTGTACGACCTGTTCTCATTTTCAAGATTTTCGTGCAAGAAGACGTCAAACGACGCACAAACTCATAACTCAGGGTTTCTAAAGATGCAGGTTGATGCAAATATTGGAAAGTGTTACTGTCACCATGGTGATTTCATTGAGAATTCTATTTTGTTGTGCGACAGGAAGCTGGGCGTTATGCTCTTTACTTTGCCTGTTCATGTATACCCTACTTGTTGAGAACGTGACATTACTTATTTGGATTGACATGACGGGTGTCGCCGATAAAGCAGAAGACAACAACTTTTCCGGAACACATGGTCTTATTCTCCTTGTACTTTTTCAATGGTATCCGTTCAAATATTTCTTTTGTTCATATTTTGCCATAGTTTTATTGAATTTGAGTTTGGATTATGATTATGTTGACATGTTTGTATGTTCCCAATGCTTTTCGAGAACGTGACATTTCTCCTTTTCATTGTACAGGATTGATATGGAGGATGACGTTCAAAACTCAAATTGATGTGTACAGTAAACAAATAACATGTGTAGAATTGAAAAGAAAATACGAAAACATGTCAAAAACATTATATTTATTTTTGCAAAAACAAAAACTGTTTTCCAAAGAGTCAGGGTTTAATTAATTAATTCCCATTGCAAAGAAAAGATCCGGGTTCGATACAAGGTAGCACGGTATCTACATTGGTGTCCATTTCCCACTTGATGTTGTGTGCGATCCTTATCAACTAGCAAATTAAAAAATCGTTCAAACTTGGGGATGCAATTTTTATCACTTCGTGAAATAGCCATTCTACACTGCAGTAACTACTCAGCGTTTGAAAGCAACCGGTGAAATGAAATAACAATTCGTCTTCAAGATGAAATTATTGGGCGCTTGATGTGAACTTTGGTTGCTTTGATTTAATTGTTCTACATATGAAACTGGATCTATCGGATTAGCAGCTGCAAAACCACAGGCATTCACGCTTTGTCCTCTTCAGCAGAGCTCTAAAACGATAAAAGAAGCACGTATTTTAAAACACCTTTCCGTTAATGCGCCGTAACTTAGCTAAAAACCCAATCCATATATGTATTATTGATAATGTTGTTCGATGTTGGTGTATTGCTTATGTTCTAATGTTACTTTCTTATGTATTTCGTTTGATGAATTTTATCATTGCAAATTATCACATCAAGTGTAGGTTATGACATTGATTTCAGCCACTTTTCTCATATACCTAAGTCGCTTGATGTATGTCAACATTAAGATGCATGGTGATTAAATGCTATAAGAACGAACGTGTTATTCACTGATGTTTCTTTATGAAATATTATCTTAATGATCAAGTGATCAACACATTTTACTACCAGACACAACTTTAGGACGTTAATCGAGGAAAATATGAAGAATACACTTTTATAAAGTAACCTTGCGACAACGACTTAGAGTTTAATAACATAAAGTCAGAGGGAAAAAACTGTAAAAAAAAGTAAAACAATTTATTTACTTACATCAAATACGCAAAGAGTGAATACAAATGGTTTCTTGACATCTCGGTATTCTTCGAGGCCTGCACAACACTCGCTGGCCGAACAAATTGCCATACCATTGATGGATTTGACGCCAACGTTACAGCAACTAAGACCATCTAACACATCGGATGGGAATCCAGCACCGGACCGCCCCAACCTAGGGTAGCTAAACATCTGAAAGAGTTCAAATAAACAAATTAATATTTAACACCGATCCGTGCTCTGGGCTGGTAAACACCTTCAATAAATAACTTCATTATAGGCGTGAATAACTAAATGTGTGTAAGACTGATATTTGAATATATTTACACAAAATATCAAATTTATTATCATATAAGTAACACTTTGATATCTGCAGTCGTAAATGGACTTAAATGTAACATCATGATGTTAAAAATATTAATCTCGTCTATTTGTAGAGAGCGTAGTCATGGATTGTATAGCTTGTGACAAATTCTGTTAGTGGACTCAAGAGTGTTGGTTTTGATCGCAACTATTTATTTCTCACGTTTAACGTCCTAATTACATTGTAAAATCATGAATTTGCGATGTGTTAAATTTCCGTGTGTTGTTTTAATACCATTCCGTTTAAAATATAGCTAAATAGATCTAATTAAACAGTTCGTGGATTGAGTTTACCTATGAAATCAACCAAAACAAGCACACACACACCCCTCCGCCAAAAAGAGTTTTCTTTTCTCCATGACCATCACCCCGACCTTTTAGTTTTAATCCCATACAATTCCACTTCCTTTGTTATGGTGATAATTTATATATTTCCAAAGACATGTCATCAAGCTTCTGCAATTTTCTGTTCACAGGCATACAGTGATACCTTGTCCGTCATTATGTAGTGTCTGCACCCTTTTTTTCTTTAGTGAATACAGATATAATTTATTTTGTAGTTGTATGATACCTGTATGCGAATCAAGGTCTGATGGTGTCAAATATTTTTTCCATAATTATGGCCATAACATTGAGACTTCGAACCAAAATTAACATTAACATTAACGGTAAGAGCCTGACTAGAAAATAAAATTTTGCAAGCAGAACTTTATCATATTTTTCATTACTTAGATACACTTCGTCACGAATCTAATTGTACTGATTAGTTCCAAACTTCTTCATAGTTGTCATTGGGGGTGTTTGTGTCTCTCTGACAAATCTAAGTTTTCTAAGATCGTCCAGCTTCATTCCTGAATAACCTCTCGTGTTGGTATTCTAATGATGCTACCTGACTAATAACTTGTTAATTACGTACATACATGGTAGCTGACCTTGGTCTGTAGACAAACGTACTGTTAACATGTATATAATGACTTATCTGTCCTGAGCAAATCGCACCAGAAGCCCACATTAGGGAATGAATGTCAACAACAGGGCTGAATGTTAAACATTTTTGTCCATTTGGTATGTTATTATGATTAGAAGGAAACATCAACCCCTGCCTGTGATTAAATAAGATAAATATGATTTTGTTGGTTTAATAGAATAGATTGTTCACTGAACTGTTCGTAATATCCAGTCGTTATCCTTTTTGTAAACGGTGTCCATGGTTTCTCATCTGTATCAACAAATACATTCTTAATCCTATCATGGAGGAATCAAATGCAAACATTCATATGATATAGAATTCCAACGGAATTCGTGTCGCATGAATGCTTAATACACACAGTCCTTGTATGCAAAATATCACTTCAGTCATAAATATCACTTTTTTTTTCAAACAGCATAATGATTTGCTCTATGTATAGCAAGCAGTCGCTGTTTTAATCAAAAAGAATTGCATACAGCTGATTTGGTGATGGATTATAAATACAATTCCATGATTTGTTTCTAATCACTCAGAGCATCACTTAGGAATCAAAATGCACATCCAATTATCGATTTGGAAATTTGTAGCTGCCATTAATTGTTATCTGTTACTTCCACGATAAAACATTTAGTAATGTGCAGTTTACAAAGGAATTAAGATGGAAAACTAAATCAACTTCATGTCGTTTTAAAGTAATCACGAAGGGAAATGTATTTCGGTAGAACTATATATTTGATCGAGCACGTGTCATTTGCTACGAGGATCAATATTATATTTAGAATGAGGTTCTCGTCTACTGTTTCAGATAAGCCAAGAAAAACGATATATCAAAGCAAAATGTATTTTATACCTCATCAAATAAAAAAATGAATATCGAATAAAATTAAATTTTGTTTTCTTTGACGACAAATTGAGGATTTCCTGGATGCCATCTGACGTGAGAATTTAACAATGGAAGATATCGAAGTTCGTGGTTCTTTTTACGTTGTAGGGACAATAATACATATTTGTAGATAACGTAATGTGTGCTTTAATGTATTTCTGTTTGCGTTATTGAATGAATCATGCTAATATATATGGATATTGCGACTGTGATGTTACTTTGTAAAGGAAGAAATGGCTGCTAAACTTCTATCGTCTTGTTGATTTTTAATCCGTAAGTGATACAAAACTGCATTATCACAAAAAAAAAAACAAAAACAAAAACAAAAACTCACATGCTCACATGAACATAGCGTTCACTTTGCATATTCAGTTTTTCCTTAAATTACCATCATTGATAGGACGATAAGCAATATAGTCCCTAAGTAAACCCCAAATAAACAGGACATGTTGATATGTAAATACGTAAATATGTATTATTAGGAAGTAAAGAAATAAGTTTTTCGAGTAAGAGATTGTCCATTGGATTACGAAAAGGTTTATAAAGGTGTCCGAATCCCATTCAGTCACTGAAACAACGCATGTAACAATGTCTGATGATGACTTTTTAAACATTTTCAAATCAATGTATATTCTGTTATTCATCTGCATCTCCGTTTTCAGGATCGATGGTTGAGTTAATTTGGTGGTATCTATTACTCTATAAAATAATATTTTTCACTCACATAACATTAATTTATTTTTGCGATGTAAACTTGAAAGACACAGTAACATAACTTATAATTGAAGAGATATCAAAAATAATTACCGCCCGTGCTTCTCTGGAGAATGCCATTGGATTCTGTAAGATAAAAGCAAATTCAATTGATGATACGAGAGTTGATTACCAGTGCATCATATATCACCGAAACCATCCACTTACGTATAAAATGAATCTGTTTAAATGGAATTGAACGCAATTATTTGTTTTAGGATTTACCGTTGTTTATGACAAAACCAAATAGGTAGAAACAAAAATGCAAAAATCGGTACCAAGGGTTTTCGTGTAGGAAAAACATTGATTACATTTCTTTTAAAAATAGGGAAAATCAACATAACGTTAATCATGTTTGTGTCTATAGTTGTAAAATTGTGTGGCAATTAAAATCAATTGTGTACAAAACAAAACAAAATTCTACTCACACTTGATCTACCCCCTCTTGGATATGCTAAAAAGTTCTACAAAAACAGAACAAAAACAGGTGTTACTCATCAGGAAAGACAACTCTGGAACAAATTAACAAATTAATGATAGTGAAATAACAAGAAAAAAAAAATAATAAAAAACTGATATATATATTACACAGGTACAGTAAAATAACAATAATTCAAAATAAAAAAAATCACACCATTCTACTAGCTTTTCACTCAAGTACAGGCCTTCGATGTGAGAGTGATATAACTGCTCTCTAACGACATTGCAAAAAATATTGCGCACATTATACGATAGACAAGAAGTATTCACAAGTGGCATACCAACATAAAAAAACTCTTATCAAGAAAATAATGACTTCATACTTGCTTACCAATGAAAACACCATAAAGGTCACTCGAAATAATTAGCCGAACTAACAATCATAAAACAATAGTCTAGAGATTTAAAAAGGACTGTTTCTGAAAAAAGGGATAATAACAATCAAAATGAAAAAAATTTCTCTGGCATAATGTGCTGCAATAAGTCAGGTGCATATCATGCTAAAGGTGCGATGGAAAACATGGTGAAATCGTGTAAAAGTGTTGATCAAAAGGCACACACATGAAAAACACGTGTCAAATTGTTGATCAAAAGGTACACACACGGAAAACACGTGTACAGTTGTTGGTCAAAAGGTACACACACGGAAAGCACGTGTACAATTGTTGATCAAAAGACACACACATGAAAAACACGTGTAAAAGTGTTGAGCAAAAGGAAAGCATGTCTTTGGCACCTTGGAACAATAATTTATTAGTAGAGGTGATGAAATATTTGCCAAACTGCAGCAATTGTTGGACCTTTTTCCAGCTCTTCGCTGGTACAGTGACCAAAAGTGTAGATATCCAGAGGGAAGACAGTGAAATCAAATTGACCAAACATTCATACAGTGATATAGAATGAAATTCATATAATTCACTTGATTATTGTTAGATATTAAATTAATTAAAAAACGGATGTTTGTGAACAATGTCTTAAACCGTGTCACTATACGCTACACGCCCAAGGCATCTAAAATATACTTTATAAGTTGAGAACTACATTCTTAGCACTATATCAGGGATACAGAGGCTAAGCACTGCAATCCCATATTCACTATCAGGTAACATGATTATATATATATGAGCGTGAAGTTCGAATACAGCTATCATGTGGCTGTCGATAAAATATCACAGTTTTCCTTGTATAGCCATATTGACACAAATACTGAATGTGTGTTATATTTAGAGAAATACACTGCAGAAGGATTTCTTATACAGTAGACAATGTATGCGAAGGTCCATCATGTAATGAATTTTGAAATGTCAAGTATGACTCCATTTTGTCTGGAAGACTGAATCACAAACCAAATTACTGGTGTTGTATCTGATGACATTCTTTCGAAATTTTAAATAACTATGTAGTGTTCAATGTGAAAGTAAAAAAGTACAAATGGAAAGTTAGATATGAAACACTGACTGGAGCCTCGCATGTCGCATGTTTACTCTTGCATACTGTAAACTCATTATTTTTCGTGGTAGTTTTATTTTCATCAATTTGATTTGTACTTTTTATCAACGAATGGATAAACGGATGATAATATATATCATCTTAGCAGTGAATGCCGTAAGAATTATTTATCCAAGAAAACAGATGGCACCAAAAATGTGTTTTTGTGGAATACCACAACATTTGAGTTCTACGAAAACAGATGATTTAACAGTATAATATTGTAGCACTTGAATAAGTTAATGGAAAATCCTATCTCTCAAATCAGAAAATGTCCCAAATATTTATATCTTGCAGCATCCAAGATTATCTGTGTCATGAAAAAAGGAAATCATTATACATCAAGAGAAGTGCAGTTATCTTGTTCGACATCAGTTTTCCATCTGTCAATTGAATCTGGTGATGACGCAATACGAATGAAATCGAATTTGGCACAGATGTGTAAAGAAACATAATTTCAGAACAGCAAGGAGAGTTAGCAGTTGGATATAAATCTGTATGGATATCTGATAGAAAATGTAATCTCAAACGATGTAGAAATGCATCTGAAATCAGAAAAATACCAGAGCATTTGTAAAGAATGGTTAGCTTATAAGGTGATAGGGCTTCTACGTGTTCCCAAATTATATTTGAATAATTGACATAACGAGGCTAACGATCCTTGGAATGAAGCAGTTCTGATGCCATTGCAGCTGATAATTGCAGGATATCCACTTGAAAGGAGACATCGATACCTAGAGTCAATGACGATATATGTTTAAACATAAGAAACTCTAGACCATACTAAAAATGAATGAGATATTCTATATGAAAATGTTTAACAAACTGGATAACCGAATGAAAACTCTACAAAAAAGGATGTTCAAGATCGTAGGAGTATAGTGCCCCAAAAGAGGGAGTCAAGGTTAAAGAACATATCTGTTTAGGAATCTACTCAGTTGCTATCAAGAAAGGGAATCAGATTTATTTCAGAGGTTAAGAAGGTTGAAAGGAATCACAATGCACCTACGAATGAAGTTGGAAGTGTGTGCATAAAATTAGGGCAACTTTACCCAAGCCAAGGATATTAGGAGTAGAAAATTTTCACTGTCCTCGCAGAATCTACAGAAGAAAAAGGCACCGGAAATAGGAGGGAAAAAGATTTCGGCGCGTTTATTACAAACCTGGTAACGTTCCGGGTTCGACTGTATAGCAGACGATAAAAGATCTACAAAGAGGTTAACGCACTGCTCCTTCAGGGCGGGGTCAATATCCACGGTCTCGGGCCCGCCCATGCTATCATTTGTCTGCTGCAAACGGCGCCAAACTCAATAGTAAATTTAACATAAAAGCCTTGTACATACATTTTTGCCTTCCCTAAGTCAACAATTAAAATATTTCACACACTCTCACAAATTTCAGGTAGTTATTTGTCCTAAAAGGCCAAAATTCATGCATTACACGAACAGCCTCAAGGTGCATTAAAAATATACTTTCAGAAAGTTATGAACGTCATGTAATAAAAATGAACAAAATCTATAAAATGATATCTAATTATGAAAACGCAAACATTATGAAATTATACAATTCTGTGAATATAACTAAAATAATGATAAAAACGCATGATACATTTCTGAGAAATCATATGATAAACCAGAAATTTATAGCAAACGTAAACTTGAAATACAAACAATATAAAAATTGTATATGATGTAAGTTTACATAGTAATATCATGTTGCTGTATTTTTCATTTCTTTTAAGTATAGAAATACCATTCATTTCATTTTAACATTGAAGAACATTTTAAGAATACCTGGTGAATAGTAGCAACTTATTTTTATGACAAGTGTTGATGTGTCAGGACTATTAATTTGATGACAAGTGTTGATGTGCCAGGACTATTATTTTATGACAAGTGTTGATGTGTCAGGACTATTAATTTGATGACAAGTGCTAATGTGTCAGGACTATTATTTTTTTATTGATAAGAAAAACCTTCACAAAATAAAGACCTCTTGGCCGTTTCCGCAGAAAAAAAGTTATATGGAAGACTTTTTTGTGACTTAAAAGCATGTATGCGATGATATTGTGATGAATTATTCTGTCAAACTATATTAAGCGAGCAAGATCGGGTAATCACAGTCTCAGGCTTAGGCTTCGAAACAGGAATGAAATGAGGCAAGAACCATGAGTCGACGGAATGCATAACTAAAGGCCGGCCATTTTTCTTGACCTGCTTTCACCTCATCAGTTCGCTAAAAAGCTTTAGTGTGATGCTTCACTGATAACTCTGCTTTAAATTATGTTGTTGTTCGTGATCAGTGTAGACTTTATCTACAAAAAGATATAAAATGGTTCACAGAGTTGACTCATATTATGCAGTCATGCTAATGTAATGAAAACAATATTCAAATTAACCAATCACGTGGCTGGTTAATTGGAAGGGTAGTTGGTTGAACAATCTATCTTTGAAATCTTATGGCGAAATAAATAAAATATTTGCATTTCAAATTCTAAAACTGTTAACTTATGATAGGACGTTGAGTTTGTTCATTATTGCGTCAGCGTGTATGTAAAACATTAAATTGAGTACTAACTATTCTATTTTAAGAAATGACAAGATGACCAATCATTTGCTCGTACGAAAAATTAGGTAGCTTGACAATGATAGAAAACTGATAGGGCGTTATAATTTCTAGAGTTTCTAACCATATTTACTGAAAGTATATGTGAATTGTATTTTAATTGATTTTTTTAATATAACCAATACATTGTAATAGAAATAGTAATCAACGAAGTCATGCAACAGAATAGATTGAATAAAGATAGATTGATATATTAGAGGATTATGAGATGTTTACTGAGAAAAGGACACAAACATGCTTTTGTGGCATATCGGAACGAATTTTTAAACCACGGTTTTATTGAATTTTGTTCCTGTTTTTTTTATCCATAATTTTCTGACAAATATACGAAAAGCGATCACATGATAATGCATATGTATTTATTTATAAATACATGTAACATCATTATACTTGAATTAAAATTTGATAAAATATTTTTTTCAAAAACAGTAAGAAATGAATTTAAAAAGTAGTAAATGAATGACAGAGAATAGATATTGTGGTGATATATAACACAACAACAGGATTTTACGCAGATTTTTATTATTACATGAAAGATAATCAGTTTTAAGACATGTTATACATAATTAAAGATTTCGCATGCGCTGTGGTGGATGAATTTGAATACAGAAGATACATGTATATATATATAAATATGACAAGTATATAGGTTAAGGTTTCGGAAATATTCAATATCATATAAAGAAATGTACACAGATGATAATGCATACATATATATGACAGCGACATCGTGACAAAATGCAGAGACCTGAGGGAAAGCGATAATTTGTAAATATAATAGAAGGTGTCATTGATAAAAAACGGCGGGCCATCGCTGTTGCTATTGATTACTCGGTATTGAAAAGAACGTTAATTTTGCGCTTGGGTGAATATAACTTATTACAATTATATTGAGTTCAATCACTCGTGATACTCTGACGACATTGGGTTTCCTTTTCCACCATCATCATAAAAAGCAGCAGAATTGGTAAAAAGCAAAGCAACGCAAGCATTGAGTGACGTCATAATTATACCCAGAGTTCAGATTCTTCCGCCGACCGCTTGCGGCCTAAACGTGGGTGCTGCCATCCTCGTGTCTGTATTTCTAATAACTGCGTTTCACAAGAAAATGTTTATGGTATGTTTTTTTAATTTACTTGAGTTGTCTTTAATCTATTATATATCAAATTATTTAAATTTATAACCAATATGATTTTTAAGACAAAGAGCATGAGAGTTAACAAAACAAAATCCTCATTCTTACCTTTGTTGTGTTTGCAGAAAAATGTATATATACATTTTAACTAACTCCAATTATAGTTATATTACCTGCTACTTACTGGAAAGGTGGAAATTGCACATTTCTGAGCACTTACCGAGTTATTTATCTATCATTGTAAGCTTTGTATTTGTGACAAGAACTTTTCGCTAAGGTCTCATACATTTTTAGAGGTAACAAGCAAATGCTTTCCACTTTCTCAGTAATTGAAATCAGGAATGACGATATGTACTGTTGAAAGGACCTACTCTCCATAAAATGACGATCATGACCCCAAAGATTAATTATTAGGAATCATGGAACCAAAGGCAATGATGTTTACGTATCGTTAAAACAGATTAAATCGGTAGCAACTAGAATAACCATGTTAGTAGTCGTCTTATCTTCATAGACATGTTAGAATTGACAGAAAAAATGTTGAAAGATCCGAACGCATGCGCACAAACGCGAACAACACTATATACATACCTCTTGCGAACGCCTGCCTAATCTGGGGTGCTGCCTTCCCTAAAGCAATAAAGCGGCTAAAATCTGTAGAATATTGTTCTTAAAGTACGATGACACCTTGAAATCGGCAACCGACATTGATTGCTTAAATGATGTTTAAACCCAATCACGGTACAAACATGCGAAAATGTGTCAAAACTATCTATATAAGTTTTTGAGTGCCTTCTAAAAGATGGCATGCAATGTGTGCTTAACATGCAAATATTGCAATACCCTGAATTGAAAAAAAAAACGTTACCCGTTCTTCTAAAACAACAGAGACAGTAAGTACAATTTATGTGATAAGAACATAGGTTGTAATTACAATCTTGGTGACAATGAGTATCATTCTGTGGTCACATTTCTACTGGAGTCTTCTGAATACTATTTCAATCATTAAGGTGCACATGTGCATTTGCATAACGAGCATGTGTAGAACACTACATATTTGAAAGTCTACAGAGTCTAATAGTACATAGTGATTGAACGTTTCACTTACCGGCGCACGTTTTTGTCTGTCTAATGACACAGCCTGTAAAGAAACAAAGCAGATATGAGAACACGCCGGAAAAAGTACAATTTGAATAATATTCATGGGTTTCAAACATATACAGTAGCATTTATTATTTACAAGACCCTCCACGCAAAACGTTGAACCAATTTTATTGAATCCTGTGAACCGGAATAAATATTTTCGCCTCATGCTTTCTTGGCTTTTCGTACATGAGCAGAGAATGCAAATTTAAATTTGCAGAGACAATTTGTGACACTCTATATAATCTATCATATCGAAATGATCATGAGGCGAATTCGTGTATAATGCCGCAAGGTTGAAAACAACTAAGGGAGAAATATTCCGGAATACAGTACTTAGAAATCAATGGTTTATAGCTGTGTCCCACTGAACTTTCTTTGTTTTCCTTTACACTATTAACCACAGTAATGTCGACGTGCGACGGTTCTGTATACGAGATATCATAAAGGGACCTGAAGACTCCTTTACTCAGATATATGAATCATCAGCATATACGTCTTTTTCTTTTTGTTTTCTCAATAAAGAAACGACAGATTAGATCGATCCTTTCTTTTAAACTAAATCAGGGAATCGACGTCATAATTAAGTGTAAAGTCTTATTAACTAGGTTACAGATACTCTCAGTTTCAGATTCCCTATAATATAAACTAACATTTTGTCCTGGTTTCATTTAAGTTGAATTTTAAACTAAATTCTGTTGGCATGTCGGCATTTTCTAGGTTGTTTCCATATTCACAAATATCAATATCCATAAGTTAATGCCTAAATCGATCGATCAATGTGGTATAAACCAATATCTTGAAAATATTGAATTAACTGATAATTTTCAATTATGGTATATGATTATCAACAAAGCATAACGCTCACACTGTGTTACTGTTATGATATTTAAGCAAATGAATAATCGTATAATTGGAAACTTTAAGTGGTTGGAAATGATAAATATTTTCATTTCAAACACAACAGCATTTTATTTCAAAAGCAAATCTAACAATTAGTTTTATCACATAGAGATAATACAATATCAACGGCCAATATTATCTTTACTAGATGTGTTATCACACAAAAATCTGAAATTATGCTTTTGTTACGGCCTCAGATTGCCCATCAGTCGATACAGAACACAAAAATAATGTTTCCTGTAGTTGTGTGTAGTGTTTTTATGTCTCTTTTTATGAATTTGATACAAATTAATTTTCTTGGTGTAGTATGAAAAAGGATATTGATACATAAACCTAGAGGCACGTTCCAAGCTCACACTAGGAATTGCTCTCTATGATATATAACAACTGGTATTTATCATTCTTTAAAAAGCATTTGGAGACTACTTGTTCTAGTTGTAAAATATTAATGAGTTTTTTGTATGGAAATGATTTAAGTACTAAACACTCAAGCATTATAACTCAAGGTCAGGTAATTGACCAATGAAGGTCATCTGGCGCCTAAACTAACACCTATCTATCGAGGAATCCATAAAACGCAACAAATGTGATAGCTTCCATACAAACCATGGCGTCATGGAAAAGTATGCAGTCTATCCATCATTGCTGCTTACTTAAGGGAAGGTACATATGGTGGGCATGGGTTGTACGCATTTCTCACTTAAACAAAACATTTCATTTTGTCTTGTTGACAATGTTTACCATCGTGATTGATCAGAAGTGATAACACGAAAGTAAGTGAAGCTTATCTAGATATTGCTAATCTCTCGACAAAACCAATAACAAATGTACTTAATTTAATTCGTTCATTTTGTTGAGAGTATTTGCATTAAATGAAAGTGTCCCAATTGTTCATTTGTTGATTTAAATACAGCATTAAAGGACAAGGAAATTCTACCTTAATTATCTACAGAAGCCATGATTCAATTAGCGACATAATTAAAAACAACAAAATCTGGCAAAATATAATGAAACACACAAAAGTTGTACGTTTCAATGTCTCATTAGATATTTACTTTGTGCCCATTTCAGTCTGTTAATTACATAAAAGGTTTCTATATATAAAGTGTTTGTTAATTGAAACGAATAATGCAAATAACACATGCAAATGAACTACTTGGGAATGAAATTATCTATCTCAAAGCTCAAAATGGAAAGTACAGTCAGTTGGAATTTTAAGTGCAAAGGAGTAGAGATTTGAATACATGTTTCTGTGACTTATCTAAACAGTTGAGTGTGTGTGTGTTTGTGTTTTGGGGGGAGGGGACGTCAAATTAATAAATTTGTGTTGAGGTCCGTATCCGAATCATCCGTATAATGACTACACTTCGATCGAAGTCTCGACATCCCAGGCATATTTAATTGAATGAAATCATAGTTCGCAAATGTCGGCGCAATTTAGACGTATTTTGTCAGGAATTTCAAAAATGTATGCGTATTCCCTAAATATGTAGATTCATTTTGGAAACAGGGGGATCATTTGGTGATCCATGTTAAAATGCTCTGCCATCTGAGAGTTTTTGCGGCTTCTTACATTTAACTGTACCGTGTAGGTAAACCATACGGTATCAGACAACACCTACAATGGCAGTGTTATGTTCAGTGTTCAGAAAATTCTTGTAGTCGAGCATAAAACGTGAAGGTGTACGTTTCTTAATCTATTTTGACACCATTAAATTTGTCTGTAATAGTGCTTCCAACATGTCAAGAATAGAAAATCAAATGGCCCAAAGTTAAGTACTATATAATTGTAGAGATTTGAACTCTCATAACAGAACCATTTATTCACATTTAAACATAAGTATATTGCAACCCATACCCAGTATATCAATATATTGACAACAGAAGAGCACCAGTGAAATTCATTGGTAGCATATTTTCTTATGAAATACTGTAAAATCATTGATTTTTCATGGAGACTTTATTCATGATAACTTTAAATCCATGAATTTATATGTCAATGACATGATAATCAAATATGGATTAAGGCATTAATGAATTTTGTGAGCATGGTTTATCTACCGAATCAAATGCCAACAGTGTATGTTTTCTTTAAACCAAAAAGCTTTCGGCCCCACGAAAAAGGATTTTTTCAGTATGTTACATCCACCGGCAACCATTGAATATCGAACTTTAACTGTACGAAAATAATGCAAAAGAAATATTCCTAAACCAACAGTGCCGGAAATGTGACAGTGATTTGTTCTGACTAAGCCTTTTAAAGATAGAGTTCACTAGAATAGCCAAAGGCGCAACAATGTCTTGTTATTTGGAACGAAATTAATATTCTAAAAATACAATGAACGGAGCACAAAGTGACATTCTATCAGACATACTATTCATTGTGATGTTGATTCGTTTTTTGCCTATTGTCCCCCAGACGTGTACATTGGGGATGGCGTGACATCCGGGGGCCAGCCTGAGGCAGAGAAGCATTGGAAGTAGTAACAGTACAAGGTGATTGCCAACTAAGTCAGAAAATGTTCCTGGAAACAACAGAAGAATTGATCAAGAAATCTCACATTGCTTTTCTTCAGTTTCGTTTCATGGTATTTGGACAGGTATATAATCCATGCCTCCTTTGATTTATAATTAATCTGAGTGTAAAAATAGATCCGGTTGCAATGATCTAATTGCGATTGGACATTTTCATAAATACAGGAAAGTTTTTTGCTTTATTTTCACAAATGCCGTTGCGTTCGTACGCGGAAGTTTATTAAATGCGAAATGCGTAAATTGGCCGCGAATTGTAAGTTCAAGAAGTTGGACGTTTATTTCATTTAAAATATACCGAAACGTTCTTTATATGGGGTATGTATTTTGTGGCAAATTAACGTGTCCAAAAAGTTACTATGTAATCAAGATACCGAAACTACAATTAAGTAATAATTAAATTTTTGAGCAATACGTTCGGCGCGAAAAAATAAGATTATCGCTAAAATATGTAACATTGTACAATATATTCTAATAAACACCTGCACATTGTTACTAAAACATGCAAACGTATATTTAAGTTAACAACAATTGTTTCTTTCACTTATATCACAGCGGCTAGATCACATTAAAGGAACTTAGGCATATTAACATCATATAGAAGAGGTCAAGTCAACAACCTCTTATTTGGCTCAATTAAATTTTAGCAATAACATTATATTGCAAGTTAGCGCAATGATGAATTAACGCGTCTATAAATGTTGCTGTATAATCAACATACAGAATCAGCAGTTAGCGAAATCATATTTTACTTTCAATCCAAAAATCACCAAAATAACATTACCTCTAACAAAACGTATATTTACAGTATAACATTAAGAATGATTCATTGAGGCTATTTGTTGTAATTGTTTAACATGTTATGCTTCCGTGTTCATTTAGGTGTGTAAAGCTAAACAAAATCTTGTTGTTTATACAAATATTTGTCAAAGATACTATCAATTGATTTGCAATCAAATGACTAAAACGAGGTGTTGATTTTCACTTCCGTTAGAACAAATCGATTTCGAACAAAACGAACCGGAAGTAATAAATCGGATGTGTTTATAAACAGTAAGACATCGTGCAAGGAATATGTTTCAGTGTCATGGCATGTGTTATTACCTGTCAGGACATTGGCTGTTGTACCACATAGTCAACAAGTGAGAAAATCCATGAATTTAAACAAATTTGTACCTTGTAGCAATCTAATAAAGTTTGGCTGGAGGTAATTATCAATAACGAGCGAAAACCGATCGATAGGAATGCGTTGGAAAATGAAGAAATGATAAACGTTATACTGTAGCCTCTAGATGGCTGTCTTGTGGTTGTAAGGGAGTTATCATTAATATTCAAGACATCTGTTTTTACTTTGTCTTTTTCTTTCGAAATCAGCCTCCAGACTCTTATGTCAATCAAATCGCACACGCACTTTAAGCACATCCGTCGAGCAACAGTTACTTACAAAAATTGCATGTTTTTTTGCACTTTTTATAACATTATATCGGAAATGTTGCCAAATTAGGCCTTCTGTTTGCTTACCGTCTGCATTTGACAGACTTTTACGAGACTTATTGTCTAAAC